GGGTTTGAACCACCAGCCTTCTGGTTAGCAGTCAAGCGCTTTAGGCACTATGCTACCAGAGCTCCCATATATATATATAATTTATAATAATGCTAACTTGAGTGAAATAATAGATTATTTGGCATGAGGATTAGTCTATTAAAATCAAAAACAAAACAAGGGGTCCTATGGTGGCACAATGGTTAAACTTTTGATTTTGTGCTGAATGGTTGAACCCATCCAAAAAGCCTAGAGATTTGCTTCTGAAAGATCACAACCTTGAAAACCCTTAGAGAAGTTTTACTCTGCCCACGTGAATCTCCTTGAGTCAAAATTGACTCAAGGGCTACTAACAACATCAACAAATACACTAAAACATGCTTTTTCAACCAATAATCCTCTCAGCTAACCGTTTATGAATTAATGAAACCAAATATTGTTAGTGTTTACAATTTTCTAAGTTCTTGTTTAGATACTAGAAGAATAAATACAATTAAGCTTACAAATCGCTGGTGAGAAAGACACAGATGATTATAAAAATGTAATGAGAAGGGTTGGGGTGGCAAAGGGGGTTGATGTAAAAATTATATTGATTAAGGGTAGGTTTGAACAGCCAATTACTATAATTGCTGCCAATAAGTTGTATATCTGTAAAAAGCTGGATTGGCAAAATTGTGTGATACATATATTTACAATAACAACAAAGAAAAAGAAAAAGAGAGAGAGAGTTGCTGCTTGTGTACAACCAACCACCTCACAGGATTTAGTTCTTTGGTTTGGTGGTTTAACGTCATGGTTTCATGGGATATCCCAGATAATTGGTCTAATAAGGAGTTCAGTGTACTTAAGTTCTACTTCCTAATTTGTTGTATAGTGCCCGGGGTCTTAAAGCTTGCAAGCAGCTATCCAAGGCACAACAATTGGTCTCTATTCACCTGGAATAACAGAGGAAATAGGAGAGTCAAGAATAAGAGGAAGTTATGGAATATGTGGCTTCTTGCCTCCATAACCAATTGCCTCTTTTGTCATGATGCCAGAAGAATGGGATGGTGCCCCATTACTAGTACTGAACATTTTGATCAAAGATTCCATTGAAGATACCTGATCAAAAGAGGGGAAATATAGAACAGAATTCAAAATTCAAGGACTCCAGACTTTCTGGAGCCATAGACCATGGATGAACCTCTGAATCTATTGCTGTGAGTTAATCTCTAAAACCTTAAACCAAAAACATCCTCTGAAGTCATCTTAAAACCAAAAAATAGTTTAGTTTAACTAGTAAAAATAGGTCGGTCTTGAGCAATACACTCTTTTAACATCTATCTATACATGATCAAATTGATAACACTAACTCTAAGTATTAGATAAAAATCTCAGGTAGCAGTGAGTTTATGTCCCTGAAGGAGGAACAACTCAGTAAAGGAGAATGATAATAGTTCCACAATACAAAGGATGTAATCAGTGTCATTAAACTGTACCTGTAGAAACTGTTGAATTGATTTATATTTTGCTGTGTATGTTCCCAACAACAACAACAAAACAATTAAAAAAAAAAAAAAAAAAAAGTAACACACGCCAAACTTCCTTGGGAGTACTTGGCAAGGGTTCCTAGGTTTGGCTGACTGAAAAGTAGGGATGAGGGATTAGAGAGTGGCACTGGAGCTGGTTAATGTGGCCAGTGTAGAAATCAAACGCAATTTGAAATTTAAAAAATGTGATATTGAAACATGCAATTTAAATACTGTGCTTCTCTCAAAATGTGACAGCAAACTATTCTTGAAGGTCTATGTCTCCATCAAGGGAGAATTTATTTATTTATTTGTTTGCTTATTTATTTATTTGTTTATATTGTGATTTGGGTGAAAATTGACAAAGCAAATTCACTTTCCATACAGTAGTTCACACACACCCTGTCTTTCATGACATTGACCACAATTTACCACAATGCAACAGTTCCCCTCCCAATTCCTCCTGATAGCTACCTCTTCCCTGTGTCCATCCGTCTATGCACCTCTGGCCCCTGAGCTGTTTCCCTGTGCATACACAGCCCTTCTTTCTCTCATGTATTTTCTCTCCAAGGAGTGTACCTACCTCAGGTAAGTGTTCAACTCATATGTCTGTCTTTTGTTTGGCTGGAAGCCACAGGTGTGGGTTCAATTCCAGATCTGAAGGGCAGCTAGGGGCCATAGTCTCAGGGGTTCTACCAGGCTCTATTGAACCAGCAAACCTGGTCCCCTGCTCTTTTTTTTCCCAAATTATTTTGAGTTTTGTTCCACATTGTTCTCCCTCTCTATCCATGATCTCCTACATAGATACCCCTCCAAGTGGTTGACAGTGGTAGCCAGGCATCATATAGTTCTTCTGGATTCGTAGTTGTATAGGCTACAGATCGTATGGTGTACCAGTCACTAGGATTATTGTTTCCAAGAATCTTTGGTTTTCTTTATTCTTCATCGCTCTGGATGAGGAGAGACCTATCATTGCATCTAGATGGCTGCTTGCAAGCTTTTAAGATCCCAGTTGCTACTCATCAAGGGAGAATTTTTGAAGAAGGTTATCTTTTTGTTCACCTGCATCAGTTTCTTATTCACACACATTTTAAAGACTGTGACCTGATATGTTTCGACATTTACCAAAGCAGGGTTTTTGTTGTTATTGTTGTTTGTTTTTTGTTTTTTTCAAAAAATCATGATTTTCTAAACAACAATTCCAAAATTAGTAATTCAAAAGAGTCACATAATTGTGAAAAATATTGTTGGAAAAATAACCATTTTGAAGCACAACTGCCTCACTAAGAACATGTTTCAGAGCATTTATTTATCTATGCCTCTGTTAGATTTTATTTACTTGTATTTGTTATTTAAATGCTTATTTGGAACCAGAAGGGATGTTTAAGAGAAACAAAACAATATATTTTCTTTTCTTTTTATAATTTTCAAATTCCCATTGGCTATGTTGTTCCTATAGGGTTTGCCTATTTGAAGCTATAATTAGCTTTTCGTTTCTACCTTTTTTATTAGAAAAATTAATAAGCAGCAAATAGGAAGTACTAAGAACTCATGTTCTTAAAAAATTCAAAAGAAATTTCACATTAAAAAAAAAAATCCAAGAGATGAATCAAAAGTCCATCCTAAAGTCCAGAGAAAATTCTTTCCAAGGTTTATTTAGGTGATGATTTCAAACATTTCATATATTATATTGTACTGATTAATTGTGTTCTGTACTTCTCTAAACTTCAATCCATCAGCTGGTATAGCTAGGGAAATAAATACATTAGTTTATCTTGTCAAGATGACCCCATTATATGTAGAAAAACAAAATGGAAAACTCACAATTGTGGAATACATTCATAAGAAGTAGTTACAAGTTAAAAGCCTTAGTGACTCTCAGAGTAACTAAGAGTTGAATGACAGTCATAGCCTTTATCCTAATAGGATCAAATAAACCTTAATAAAATTTGGGAAACTAGTTGAAAATACATGTATTGAATTCTGTGCTTCCTTCCTAGTCATCTTCATTTAAATTTTAGGGTAAATCTCTCTAGCTATGGAGAGAGAAATGTTAAGTGGTATTAGCACTTGTCTTTCTTCACTCAGAAGTTATAGCTTATAAATGTAGATTGTTGTTGTTAGGGGACCCCATTCACAACAAAACACCCATTCTTGCACCATCCGCATGATGGATTAAGTTGAGGCTTTGACCATTGGTTGTCTTAGCCTGGAAACCACTGAAATCTGTTCAGCATCATAGCAACATGTGCACTTGAAGAGCATTGGCCAGGAATGAACATAAGTCTCCCAACAGGAGGTGAAAATTCTACCACTGAAACACGACTGCCCCCATGAATCCATATTACATGGCTTCAGATCCTGATTCTGCCATGCTGACTTTGTGAACTGCAGCAACTTCTCTGTGTCTCAGTTTTCTCATTGTGTTATTGGGAGGATGAAATGAGTTCATGCAGAGAATATACTTTGAATGATGTCAGACTCATATATCATTCCCAATAAGTGTTAGCTATTATTATTGGTACATATAGGAAGTAAAGTAACCCACCAAAAAATACAAGAACATTTTATGAAAATGAGCTATGGAATAACATTAGGCTGAAAGTATTCTACATTCAGGGAGCTCAAAGTGTAAACAGAAACCAATGTTTGGCTTACCTGTACTATGACAGGAAAACTTAGTTTTGTGATCACATAATCGTAAGGTACCATTGCAGCCTTTCTCATCACTGCCATCTTCACAGTCTTTTTCCCCATCACAACGCCACAGATCAGGAATGCAGTTTCCATCAGGGTGGCATTGAAATTCATTCCCATTGCATCCAGCAGGAGAACGAATCTCTTAAATTGAAATGAGGTAGAGAAAGGCAGAGAGGGGAAGACAGGAGAAATTATAACTTCTATTGGTACTTTTTCATTTTTTATTCAGGCATTAGCATGCTTGAGAGAATATATTTTCACTTTAGTTGTATAATAGCTGTAACATTTTCAGGTATTTTCAAATTCATTTGAAAGATATTAAATAATTAAGAAAATGGTATTGCTTGCCTCCCACAGAATTCCTTAAAGTGCTATATACACACATTAGGAGAAAGGGGAAGAATAAGGGACATGTGTGGATATTCTGTCTGTGATTTCCATTAGTTTCTTAAGAATGAAAAATAAAAAGGGCTTTTTCTAGGGCACAAAAATGAGGTCTCACATTCTATTCTTAATGATAACACTTTAGTTGATCTTTTGATATTTCTCTATGTAATTTTGCTCAGATTAAAACAGGTAAACGATTTTTAAAAAATAGTAAGTACTTTCAGACTAACAAAAAAAAGTTTTACAACATAACATGTAAAATTTTGAAAAAAGGTATCTCAGATATGAGATACATATTCTTCATCAAATAAAATTTCAGTTTTAGATTCAGGAAAAATAGACTGTTACACATAAGAATTTAATAAGAGACTATGCATTCAAATTCAATTTATCTATTAATAATTTATAAAATGTCAGATAGCTCTCTTCCCTAAAACATGCTGACTGAATGTATAGGTTAAATACTAAAGCTAAGCATAAACAGGAATAGAGAAATGTATACGTATAGCAGTAGAAATGCTTAATGGGAGCTCTGGTAACATAGTGGCTAAGGCACTTGACTGCTAACCAGAAGGGTCATGGTTCAAACCCACCAGCCACTCCTTGGAAGGAAGATGGGGCAATCTACTTCCTTAGTGATACTGCCTTGGAAACCTAAGGAGGGGTCGCTATGAGTCGGGTCCGACTCCACGGCACATAACAACAACAGAGATGTTTTATAGTACAACAATTGAATATGAGCATAATCAATAGTTTACTAAAATTGTATTAATATCTAATATCATATATTAAGTAGTATCACCAAGTACTGTTGTAAAATATTGTAGTATACTTTTTCCCCCAAGATCAGTGTTTTAATGTAACTAATTTACTGCTTATCTCCTATAACTACATGCAGCAATTAATCTACATTATACTTATAAAAGTAATTAATCTATATAATTATGATAAATTTGAAGCAGGTTTATGTGAGTTACCCACTGCTTAATTTGTTATTTGGTAAGGAGCATGTGGTTATGAGTTTAGATTCACTTACAGTCAAAGCTAATAATAGGACTTAATATCACCTAGGCAGCTACTTAATCTTTTGAAACCTCTATTTGTTCACCTGGAAATTAGAAAGCTTGTATGTAGAGTTGTTGTAAGAAATAAATTAGATGTCTGAAAAATGATTAGGCTAACTTAAGAGAGCTCTGGTAGCATAGGCGTTTGACCACTAACCAGAAGACTGGCGGTTCAAACCCCCCCAGCCACTCCTTGGAAGGAAGGTTGGACAATCTACTTCCGTAGTGACACTGCCTCAGAAAACCAAGGAGGGGTCGCTATGAGTCGCGTCTGATTTGATGGCTCATAACAACAACTTAAGAGATTTTTTATTGTTGTTGTAGTTACTTTCTACAATGTAAATCATTCAGCTCAATCGTAATGTTTATGTATTTAAGGACTTTCAACCATTACAGTAGGGCAAATTACTGCTGTTGTTAGATTGCAACTCATGGCTGCTTTCGTGAGCAGAATAGAACTACTCCACAGGGTACTGAAGGCTGGGACCTTTTGGAAGCAGATCACAGGCTTGTCTTTCACAGTCCCTCTGTGTGGATTCAAACAGCCAGCCTTTCGGTTGGAGGTTAAATGCTTCATTGTGTGCATTATCCAGGGACTTTTACACACACACACACACACATTCTTGTATTCCTTCTCTCCCAACTTCTCTTTCCATCTTCCACAATAAACGAAAAAATATTCCAAAGCTATCTCTTAATCTCTGCTAGGTTTGGGCAGGTGCTGAGCTTTCAAAATGCTCTTTTTCGGCCAGAAAACACAGAAAAAAATCATGAAGTTTTATTTCTTTTTAACTTTCTTGCCAAATGAAAATAGCTTCTGCTAACAGTTGTTGATTTTCCCCTGCATGGAGAGTTGCATTCCTCTGAGGAGTCTGTGATGACCATTCCAACCTGAGTTCCAAAATTATGTATTTCTCCAGAATGCCAGTTTCCTAAGCTTCAGGGCTAGGCATCCAATCTATCATTGCAATATGCTTGTCTCAATGGAGTGTTAAAATGATGACTATGTTAATATGTATATTCTCATGCTGTTTTACTGTTGTGTATTCATGTTACTGAGGCTGGTTACATTTTAACTAATGGAATGTTATTGCATTTTTGCCCTGAAGCTATTTAAACCAAAAACACAATTTGGGAAATCTAATAAATAAATAAATGCAGACCCCTGGAGGAAATGTGGCAACCAATGGTAGGATTCATCGCAATATTTAAATGAATTCAGTGTGACTATATGCTTCCTGTTGGAAGACTAGGAATTGTACAGAGACAGAAAAGATATTTTTTCCTTCCTAAAGTTTAAAAAATGGAAATCAGGATTGTCAAAATTATATTTACACTACATTTTTTGTTGTCAGAATACATTTTTGGTCTATAAAGAGTATTAAAGCCTTCCTAAGAAAATAGCTAAAAATGGTAAGGCAAAAACAATGGATTATTTAAATTGTGAGACCAATGGAGGGATACTTTTCCTTTTTCATAGTTTTAATGGAGTTTATACCTTAATCTGTCATTCATTGCAAAATATCCTGAACAATATATAGCACTAAAAGCATGTGTACAGCGCTTTCTGCATTTCCTGTGATCACCAGGAAATTATGATCACCAGTCCTTGCTCTGTTCCTAGCTTTTCAGTGAATCGCTATGTATTCCTGCACAATTCAAAGACATCATGATTGTAAGCTGTGTGGTCCATTTTACCAGATATTCTTCACCACCCCAGGTACTACTGAGAAGGTGATATCTCAGCATATCTATAGCCTCATTCCATTTACCAGCAGAGTGTGAACATAACCTTTACTTGCTTCTACCTAAAGGGTGCCTTAATATTCCCTTCAGGAGTTAGGCTGCCTCTGGTTTCTACAAGGAGTCTCTGGGTGATGCGAACGGTTAAGTATTTGCTACTAACTGGAAAGCTGGTAGTTCAAATCCACCCAGAGGCATGTTGGAAGAAAGGCCTAGCATTAAAAAATGCCATGGAGCATATTCTACACTGACACAATGGGGTTCTCATGAGCTGTCATCAACTTGACAGTGAGTTGTTGTTGTTGTTGTTGTTATGTGCCATTGAGTCAGCCCCGACTCATAGCGACCCCTCCTTGGGTTTCCGAGGCAGTGTCACTACGGAAGTAGGATTGCCCAACCTTCCTTCCGAGGAGTGGCTGGTGGGTTTGAACCT